ATTTTTTTTAACAATAAAAATGAAAGGCAATGAGCATTTATGGTCAAGCTGCTCCTGTTATGTGTTGCTGTCACTTATAAGCTGCTCATAGCGGCCTGTAGCAGCCCATCGGTTAAGATTTGTCTTCTGTATTATTCTTTTGTCAGAGCTGCCGTCATTACAAACTCTGGTTGTCTTGGTTGCAGGGTGTGGGGGCGTGGCCTTCAGGAGGCCAGGGCTTGGAAAAACAAAACAGTTAATTTAGAAAAAGGCTAAATTGGGAGGTTATAATTAGATGCTGTCTGTCTAATCTGAGAGGAGGTTTCCCACTCATCATTATTTTTTTTTTCAAATGTAGTATAATATGAGACCTTTTACACTGCAAAACCAAATCTGGAAATAAGTAAATATTTCTTAAATTAAGTGTATTTACCTTAAATTTGAGTAGGTAAATAAGATGATTTGCCAATGGAATTAGTATTAGTACTTTTACTTTTAAACAAAATAAGTGGATAATATGTACTTGAAATAAGACAATGCAATAGTTTTTTCTTATTCTATATGCAAATCGTCTTGATCCATTGGCAAAGTGTCTCAGTTACCTCCTAAATTAAAAAAATGCACTTATTTTAAGAAAAACGTTACTTATTTAGATAATAAAAATGTTCAGTGTAAAGGGTTCATTTTAGATGAAAAGGTTCAAAGGTCAATTTCCTTTTGCAAATGAATAGATAGGAATAAAAGTTAGGCCAAAGGACCTTAATTATTCAGTGCATCATTTTGCTTCATAATCCAATAATCTAAGAGGGAAAAAATATAATTTGCGGCTCAATTATTTATCAGTCTTTAACAGTTCTCTGTAAGACAACGATTATTAAAAACTCCAACTAATTTGTTAGATCTGACCTGTACACATCTGATTAAGACGCCCCTGTTTGCAGCCCAGGTCATATCTTTCTGTTCTGATCAGACAAACCGTATGATTGGAGCCGTCAGGGCAACATTTCCCCGATAAGATCTTATTCAAAAATCCAAGTTCTTACTTATTTTTCTGTTTCTGTTATATAAAGCGCCTTCTGCTCCTCATACCAAAACTCTTTCCCTTATTTAAGTTGTATTCTGTCTGATTTTCACAGTTGATAAATCACCTTACAGGCCTGTTTATTTATAATGAACAATAATACTCATAATATTTGTATTTAATTTGTAAAAGCAGATAAACGCAGATGTGACAAGCCTTCATTTATCATTTTTGCTTTTACAACTGATGCTGCTGCAATGCTGTATTTAGCATATTCTCTTCCTCTTCATAGTGTCTAACCAGCATTACTCAGCTATCCAAGCTTCTCTGTCAGTTCAGAGATCCCATCTCCTTGGCTTTGCTTCACATTTTTTAAACTAAAATATCTCTATGTAATGAAAACCATAAAATGGTTTTGGAACCTCTTCAATAACTTAGTTTAACATGTTGCGCATAACTTTGAGTCTTTATAGCTCAGTAAAAATGTCTGAACTGAAGGCGTGGCTCATCTTTGCTGTTTTTACATATAAAGAAAAAGAAATCCATTGGAACTGATCAGCTGCTCGCATCATCAAGCACATCAGACCTGATATTTCCAGATTCCTCCGATGCTGTCATTTGTATGAAATTCTTGTTAATGTGTCACTTTGTAGTGACACATTAACAGGGTGTTAATTTTGAAGCTTGGGGAACAGGTAGAGCAAGTATTCAGGTGTGAAGTCTAACATGTCTGAATTTAGTAACCATGATGACAATGGTCAAACACACCTGGATTAATGCATCTGTGGAGACATGAAACAAAGAAGCTGGCTTAAGTCCAGGAAGTGGTGGAGTTGGAATTAAGGCCTTTAAACTTTGAAACTTTGTTATTGTTTGTGAAAATGTTAATGTTTTGTTTCCATAATTTGTTTTCTCTGAAAGTAGCACAATCTGGAACCGGTTGCAGGTTTTACTGGTTTCAATCATCAGTGTCTTGTATTGAAAACAGAATACATAGCATCACTTGAATGGGGATATCTCTTAACCCTTTAAAGCCTGATCCAAGAATAAAACAAAACAGAAAATTACTTTTTTTTTGGTTTCAATGTCTTTTTTGCCCTTTTAACAAAATATGTAAAAAAAAAAACAGAAATACAATTTTTATATTAATTTATTGCTATGCAATAAGTCAAGATTATTTTTTGTGTAGTCTTCTACTGGCTGTTATCAGGTATATCTAATTGTGTACAATAGGAGTTTGAGGAAAGTTTTTCCATTAAATTATGCAAAAGGTGTCAGATGCAAAACATTTCAGGCACCGTATGTATCAAAGCGATACATTCGGCATTAAAGGGTTAAATGTGCAAAATTTGACTGAAATCAGAAATAAATGCACATGTTCAATTGAAAGACTGACGATAAGTTTAAAACCAACAGAAGACCAAGATGTCAGCGATTTAAAAATTGGGGCTGAAGCACCCATCCATTTTCTGTCTCACTCATCCCAAGCGGGGTCGCGAGGGGTGCTGGTGTCTCCCGCTGTCTACGGGGGAGAGGCGGGATACACCCTGGACAGGTCGCCAGTACATCGCAGGGCGAGGCTGAAACAATTAATCAGATTAATCATGATTAATCAGTTATTGAAATAATTGTCAACTAATTTGTTAATCGATTTAATCGTTAACTGGAGTTTAGAGACTGTAAAATAATAATAATATAAAAAAATAATATTAAAATATTTATTTCAAATTTTCTCTTCACTAACCACAAGAGTGTAGAAGTAGAAAATTGCGTTATATATTGTTTATTTTTCATGTTAATGCATTTAGTAGATGCTTTTATCCAAAGTAGACACAGCTTTTACTGTTATCAATATGACAATACTATATATATATATATATATATATATATATATATATATATATATATACATATTTTTATATATATATATG